TCCTGAGAGGATGCTGAGGTGAAGGAAACATCAGAGATGCTTTGCAAGAACCAGAAACTGATGAAACAAGTGAATGTAGTGACCTTCTCATGACGGTCTGGTGGAAAGGTGGTCAGTTCTGCCTCATAACCTGCATGCCTTGCCCGAGTGGAGCGACAAAGACAAAGTTAGTCTTGATGTGCAGAAGGTTCCTCCCGTGAGCTCTCCTTATCTATAACTTTAGATCGTTTCTGCAGTGAACTTCTTTTTGTAGTTCTTTGAGTTCCAAGCCGATCATAGAGCAGGAACACAAAACAGGGAAGGCTGACTTAGAGTTTGCATATCTAAAAAAAAAACCGAGGTTATTATGCCGTCATATTTGTGGCAAAACAGATGGCAGTAGTGGTCTACTCAATTCTAAAATAAAACAGGAACAGGAAAACATTTGCCATTTTTATACGTTTTAGAAATCTAAACAACTTTAAATTCTTCTTGTGTGACAAAGCCATTATTTGAAACTGCATGTCCCTGAAATTGTTGTAATGTACATGCATAAAACAACACAGATGGTAGGAAGCTACTGCTGAAACACAACCATAAACCACTTCTTCTGAGGAGGGTTTGTGTGCCTGGCTCCCTTATGTGCTTTTTGTAGATGTGAAAACCCACAAAGTCAAAGAGATCTCTGAAATAGTTTATGTCTGACCGTGTTGTCAAAGTTGAAATCTTTATATATTGATTGGTGAGTGTCAAAAATATCTTCTCTTGGTCTTCAGCCTCTATCAGTCTTTGCAGACATTCTAAGATTTTGCCATAAAAAATGCATTTATCTACATCTCACATTTATTTGTGTTTAAATTTAGCTTGGCTTTGGTAAAAGAAGGGCATTTTTTAGATTCTTGACTGTGTGTTCAAGATGTATTAACACACACGAACATCCTTTAGCTGTGATTATTATTTAATACATGAAAAATGTCCCTTCTTCCACTATTTAACATTACAGCCCACAGGAACAGGAACATAGCAAAAAGCTGAGCTGCTGTGCTCAAGTCTTGTACTTTTTAAGTCTTGAAGACAAAATAAATCCATCCTGTGGTTTCCAGTGAGCTGCTGTCATTTTCTTGCTTCTCTCCCATCACGGTCTTCTGTTCCAGACGACTCTGTTTTAATCCCTCACTTGTTTCGAGAGAGGGGGAGGAATGGAGGTATGACAAAAGCAGGAATGAGCGATCCCACACTAAAAAGCCTGATGAGGAGGCATAAACAAAGCGCACTTAGCTTTCACAGTGACACGAAACATAAATGCTTTCACGCCAACAAAGCTCATTCTGCCAATAAAATATTGTCATACAGCTGACAGTGACAAAGACCCTGTGTGGGCAAAAACTGAGGTGAGAGCTGCAGATTTGAAATTCTGTTCTAAGCAGAACACCACAATATTTCACTTTCCACTGAATATTTACTGTTTATATACTTTACTGTGTGGCTTTTGTAAGATGGTGCTTGCATTAATGGAACTTGTTCGAAAGCACTATGCTGAAGAGAGTAGAAGATTCGACTTGTAATCCAGGAAACCAGAGAGTAACGTTTTGTTGACCCAGTAGACTCTAGTTATTTTTGACATGTTGTAGAAATGACAAAAGTATAATTAATAACCTGTAGACCAACGGCCTTCTATTTAGTTATCCCAATGACATGAATGTATCCATGCTGGTCTGCTGAAATGGTTTTCTGGTGAACTTGACTTGGCTAAAATGAAAGGAAAAGAAAAAAAAACAGAACAAAAACAAAACAAACAAGACAACAACAACAGAAAACATATAATAATATATATATATATACTATATATATAAGTATATAATATATAGTATATATATATATAGTATATATATATATATATAATATACTATATATATATAATATTATATATATAGCACATTTTCTACTCTATCGGAGCTTTACATAACTTGCACATTCACTTTTTTCCACGGTGTTCTTAAGTGCTTCCTATCTGACATTCACACTCTGATGGATTCACAACATTGCGTTCACATATAGAATATCTACCAGTTACCATTCATCTATTAAGATTTTGATATCCCTCCATCCTTACTGGACTTAAAAAAACAAATTACTTAATTAATTAATTTTTTATAGTGGACATTTTTTAAAATCCCCATGAATGCCATTCAAAACAACAGAAAATGATGAACCTCACTCACTCATTCTGTGCAGGGGCTTAAAATGAAAACTCACTTTGTGCTAAAGCTAGCCAGCAAACACTCCAGGAGCTGTTTTAATGGGGCACAGAGTTAAATCAGAGAGTAGCAGAAAGACATGAAATCTTAATCGACCTGCGAACTGAAAGAACAGAAAGAAAAGTCGGTCATCAGAACTTTATCGGCTTTGTTACCTCAGTTTGGTCTAAGCAACTCCACAGCTCGTTACTGTATTTCCCACAATATCTGTTGCTACTGTAATGACCGCTATGAAAGTACTGCTTACCACTATGTCAGATCTTTACAGTGGCAGCTTAGAAGTTTTTAAATTTTCAATAAATAAAGAAAAAAGTAGTGATGGGAGACAATGCAGGAGAGGAGGAACACCTGGCTCCAGCAGGAAGACCATCATGACTTAACCTACCCTCTGAGGTCTAACTCTAACCCCTAATCTGAACCTTGTTCTGTTAGAATGTATGATTTTTGACTTTCAAGACTTGTTCTTGTAGGTCGTTGCAATAGGTGGACAAAAAATAGACATTCCAACTGATGCATATCAAAAAGTTTTTATTGTCATCAAAATGTAGGGTTGTGGCTACTGAATTTAGGTCGACTCACAAGACTGTAAAGCAATATGACCAATCTTTTAATACAGGAGCTGTATTAAAAGAATTTGTTATTCTGCCTCAAAATCATTTTTATATTTCACACTTTGAAACTTTGAAACCACACGTGACACACCCAGTCCTAAGACTCTCGAAACCTGATGAGCAACTTGAAGTAGCTGCAGTCACGTCGATACTTTGATTTGAGAAAATCTTGGAGATTTGTTGATGTGAGCCTTAAAATAGCTGTAAATAGGTACCTGCTACTCCAGTGAAGATGTTCCCCAGGTGCCTTTCTAAATAAAATGCTGCCTAGCTTGCAGTGAGCATCTCACTCCTGTATGGCAGCAAGTGATGAATGCTTCATGTGGCTCCAAGTTAACTAAGTTCATTTTGAAACACTCCCTGGAGCGTTGCCATCAATCAAAGCCTCTCCCAGGAGCTGTCAAGCAACTTTGCCTGCCTTATTCTGCTACCGTGTGTGGTTGCGCCACAACAATATCCAGCCCACCCCATTTGCTTCCATTTCAGGCAGCTCAGGCACTTACTTAGTTCCCTACTTTTGCCTCTGGGCTGGATATTTAACATGCAAGACACCCTCCAGCCTCCTTTTAACCCAAGAATGGCTTTTGGCATAGGCCAAAGAGAACAACACCTACTCCAAAGTGCCACCAACGGGAGTGGCGCCAAAGAGAAGAAAAAAAGATTTCCTCATTGCTGATAATTTTACCCTTAAAAGTCTGCCATTTTCATGCAGTGTGCCCATAAACAGTTATAACCAGTACTCGAGCCACAGCCTACAGATGAACCTGAGAGGAGTCTAAAGATAGACTGTAAGGAGACGCTCAGCAGGGGGAAGGCGATTGTTGTATAAGCTGAGTGCATCTTTTTAATCTTATCAGCTAAAAAAATGATCTGTATTGATAAAAAAAAAAAAAACGACCAGCCCATGGGATAGGAAATCCTGAACCAAACATGTGCTGTCCACATATCCTGGCACTAGGAAGCCCTGAAAATATTTCTGCCTGTGGTGTAGTGGGAGTAGCAGACTAGCTGATATGGAACGAGACTGATTTTAGGGGAATCTGTTATTTTTAAGCTTTTCCACGGTAGTTGTGAGCAACTACCGTGTATGCAGTGATGTTCTCAGTGTTCCCTGCCAATATTAGAACATGAGCATCACTGAAACAAACTCGTACATCGATAATGTAGACCCTGAAGTCTAGATGATGAAGTAAATCACACATATCCAGATGTTTTATTGTCATTGGCCTCCAACTTAATAATCGTGCTGCTCATTTGTTCCAAAAAAAACAAAAAAACAACCCACATCAGCTTTCATCAAACCACATGTTGAAGTGTTTCCAATTTAAACTGGTAACAACTGCCATGTTAGAGGTAGTGATAGTTGCACAAACACGTAAATTTCAACCAAGTGACTGCAGTTTTCCAGCTGTTTACTTTTATTTTCACCTAAAAAATTTTAGTCTTAAGTTACCTTTAGGTTCCATGCTTAAGTCCTACATTTCAGGTTTGTTGTCTGAAGTCAGAAACAAAATGGTTTCTTGCACATGTACCAAAACCGGTTCCCTTGTACACAAAGGACCGGGCCTGCTGTAGCCACCAATTCATCATAGACTCATCAAGGAAGCTACTTAGCTTTCGGCCACCATATTTAAAAAAAGGGAAAAAAAAGAAGTAGACAGACAGTCAGAAGTGTGTATGCTTAGCATTGGTGGATGCTGTCATTATGTGTTCCATTCTGCTGAGAGTCAAATATGGCTAAAGCACTGCCAGTGACTTAGTGGGTAAAAGAAATGTACTAGAAGAAAAAGAGGAGGGACGCATTTTCACGTTCATTAGCCGGCCTGTCCCTCTGGGCTCAAACACAGAGCTCAGTGCATGAACTGCCCTCCCCGATGAACCCATCCATCCACACATAGCACACAAACTGCATTATCCTCATTTCCTGGGACACTCTCCTTCCCCTTTTACTCTTCTTGCATCCCACTTCTCCCATTTTCATCTCCGTCGTAGTTTATCTAATGCCACCTCTCTCCACCCTGTCTTCTTTCCTGTCCCTTTCTCCCCCCTTTTCTTAGAACACATCATCGCAGCCTTCCTCACCATCCCCGTCTTCGGTCTCTCCGCTTTCCAGCCAATGGCTGCTGAGAGGGGCGTGGTTAAATAGAAAGCGGATGGACGGAGCTTGTTGGGGGAAAAGGGAGAGGGAGACACAGAGGAGAGCGCCGATGAATAGAGACGCTTTCCTTAGCTTCCTGGAGAAGCAACGCCAGGCTTGACACTGAGTGATGATTGTCACGCAGAGAGAGTCGGAATAATAACGCGGAATCAAATCCACAGAGAGAGGGGAGGAGGGGGCTCAGTCTGTGGATACCTGCGCGTCTCCACTCCGGCCGCAGGTGCGCTACGGTCCCTCTAAAGGGAGTTTGATCTGTGAGAGGCAAGTGCGAGAAGAACCAGTCCTGCAGGGATTATTTTTCATTTTCTCGCCAAGTGTCAGTTTTATTTATTTATTTAATTTATTCTTGTAGTTAAACTGAAAGCAAACTTTCTCTCCCCTTTGCGCCACCTGCAGTCATAGTTCAACTCCAGGTCTGACTCCAGCTTCATTCTGAGCTTTGTAAGTCTGTGGGCTGTTCTTTCAGACCTTTCCTGAGCTCGGATTACACTGGACAGCACCTCCAGTCTGAAAGGAGAATTCCTCAAAACTCCCAAGTTAACGAGAATCGGGAGTCCTTTCCAGTCCAGTCTTTGCTTTAAAACGAGCTGATGAAGAGAACAATGTCTGGATTATTGCAGCCGCTGTTCAACCTGCCCCGGGAAAGAGGGGAGGAGTGAGGAAAGCAGTAAAAGAAGGGAGGAGGAAGAGGTGAAGAAGGGGGGAAGTCGGCGGCGTTTAGCTGCCGTCCACTAGTTCTTTAACGCCTTTGCTGCCCGGGTTCTCCACTCTCTTTTTACGAGATACACGAACAAACATCAAGAGACGCGCGGGGAGGACCTGCGTTCACACCCTGGGTGAGTTTGTGTGTGTGTGTGTGTGTACACTGGGGGAATCAAATGTGGGGAATAGTAGAGGATCGCTGTTCTGCGTGTTCGTGCCAGGTGCGTTTTTACGCACAGCTCACTCCGGGTTGATACGCACAAGTCAATGTGGGTCCAGGAGGATTAGTGACGCATGATCGATAAGAGATGTGAGAAAAATGAAGAGATTGCAATTCAGGTGAATGTGACAGGACGCTTGTTTTGCCCGTTTAAGCAACTTTACGCCCAGAAAAATGCGTAAATAAATACTGGCGCTCACACGTGGGTCTTTATTTGTCATTTTCCCCTAATACATTGCGCATGTTCCCAATAAAAATGTGCGCAATTGTGTTCCGCTTCAACCCGCAGAGTCTACATTCCCGTCACGCTTGGGAAACGCGTGTCTTTGGCAGCTTATGACAGCTAAATTGTAGTGTATGTATAACAACCTCACAATCGTGTGTGTGAGTGTGCGAACAGAAAAAAAAATCTCGCTGTTCTAACTAGTGAGCACCTTCCTGCCTGCCTCTCTCCTCCCAGTGTGTCTTTCTCTGCCTCCGCGTGTGTGTGCGCGCGCGAGATTGTTGCTCCATCAGTCACCCTGAATGCCTGCCACGCACCGCACAATTTCTCACAAATTCGCTCAACCATGTAAGCACATTTACCTGTCAGCTACTTCGTCGAGACTACTGTAAGTAAGAAATCCTCAGAGAAGACGAGGTGCTGCCTCGGCAGCTGTCTGTGCTATATATACCCTTTATTATATATATAATATTATATATATATTATATATATATATATATATATATAATATATATAGTATAATATTCCTTTCCCTGCGTAATGGGGTCCAGTCAAACAAATAATGGGGGAGGAAGAAGAAGTGAAAAAGGGAAAAGGTGAAAACCCAACTCTGGGAGCGGGACACTTGCTCACCAAAAGAGATCAGTTTTCCATCGTTAAATAATGCACCATTCAATCAGCGCACACACCCACACGCTCACACTCGTTCACCTGGAGGGAGGACAGCTCTTCCCGTTTCCCCTGCCTGCGTTTAAACAGCAGTGACGCGCTGACGAACGCTCGCTGGAAGAGCCTGCAGATGCAAGGGTGAGTGCAGGACACAGCGGGCGCATAATGGCGTGTTTTGTAAAGAAGAGCGTGAGCGCAGAGCCGTCCTAACTTCACAAAGTGAGAAGTGATATTGAACGCTCCGACCAGCGATGGGTGCGGGCGAAGTGGCCGTTTGAGAGAGTTGACACACGCACCAAACTGCAGCCATTCCTTATCGATATTGTTATGCTTTTGGGCCCCGATTCAATTATTCCGCTGTTGTGCAGTACAGTAGATACCAATGTATGATTGAAATCAATAACACAACATTAAAATAATCACCATGAACTTCAGAGATTTTCCTGAGAGAGACCGAAAAGGAACCACTGAATTCTAGTTGAGGTGAATAATTTGCCATTTTTATCCTGTCTTGTGTCCAAATCCTCCATTTCCCATAATGCAACCAATTTGCAAGCCTTCTTTGCTGTTTGAGCTCCATATTTGTCAAACTTTGAGCACTCGGTCTGGAACACAGCCTTTATCAAAACTACGTTATAGAACATCATGGTAACAAAGAAATGCAGAAAGTTTTGTCACTATGATTTCACTGAAGTTGATACTGTCCAGATAATATTGAACAGTATAATCTAGAAAAACAAAACAAGAGCCTTATCTCCACAATGGAGTTCACTCCAGCTGCTAGAAATTGTAACCAGAGCACCATATACACTCCTAAATATAGCCCCCAACAATTGCAGGCACATGTCCTGGTGTTGAGTAAGGAAATGACTCTTTTAATATTAGATCTGTGTGCTGCCATATGAATGTCACGGTGTCCTGAAGCTGAAAAGATTGCACTGATATACAAATGCATTGGTGATTTAGATATTTTTATGGACACAATGAAGTCAAAGTGGTAGTACCTTTTAAATATATACATACAATTTTTAGATTTTCACCCAGAAATGACATATTAGGGGTAATTTTTAGGTTCAGCATCTTGTCTGAGCATGGTTTTGCTTGCAAACTAAAGGAGCCAGGAATTAAAACACAACCTTAAGATTGGTGGACAGCCTGCTATCCTGCCTGAGTCGTAGCTGCCATATAATATGATGAACTCTGCACAAGACAGAGTAGACGATTATGGTGTACCTCGAGAGTGCAGGATAAATATTGCAATTGCAAGGTGATTGGCTGCATCGCAATACCACAACCTTTCTCTCACAAAAGCATCCATATAAAGAATTCCATCCATCAATCAATCCTTCCATTTATTTTTTCCGGTTATCCAATTCAGGGTCGCAGGGGGCTGCAGCCTATCCCAGCTGTCCTAGGGCGAGTGGCAGGGTTCATGCTGGATAGAGGAGAGGAAGTTACATAATGAGATGCTTAGAAAAACGGTTTATCAAAAAAATATATTAAACAGAGATTATTAAGGAATCAGATGCAGAAAGTTTCCCACTAAAGTATTTAATTTTTCTCCTTTTTAGCCTTTCTGCCGTCTCAGGAGAAATGAATGTCCGAGTGCTCACATTAAGTCCGTGTGCATGTTTATCAAATCACTGCCTAAAGCCTTGCATTCGATCGCACATTTCACTGCTTCAGATGTGTAGAAGGGAGCTTGGTTTCACTTGTATTCTAATGCAGTGCTGTTGCTGTTTGTTTCTTTGGTTGAGAATCATACAGCCTCCGTAGGTGGAATGAAACCTGTGATTCATCAGATACCCTAGTGCAGGCAGGCTTAAAGGGAAAAAAAACCCCCACCTTAATGCATTCTATCATTGTGGTAATATTCCAGCAGCAATATAAAATAGCAAAAACAAACAACTTTGCACTGTGTTTAGGACCTTGGAGAATCCTTTTAAAAGGCTCCTGCTGGTCCCCACTTAAGAACCAGTGCACCCATGCAGGAGTACATTGCTCTGTAAAAAAGTTTATGTGCTTACAATAATAATTTGTTGATATAAATTGGCTCCCACAACATCTTTCAGACCTTATGAGACCTTATACCAGATAAGATTAATTGAACATTTGGTATCATCCATGTCTGTGGATGTCTGCTTTTGGTGGTGCTCAGTTGTTCCACAGTCAATGACGAGATGGAACACCTCCTAGTGCACTGACCCCTTTTCCATAAGGGAAATCAGCTTGGCTGATGTTATTAGGTCCTGTTGTTTCCACGGATTTCTCCTTACATTTTCTATTTACAGTATCACTTAGCCTGATCTCAGTCCCGCTCATTAGCCTTCATCAGGACACCTAATTAATGCATTGGGCTCACTTTTGTGCCATTTCTTAAAGTGGAGCTTTAGTGTTACGATTGGAACCCAAACCAGGACCTCTCCTTAAAGCAGCAGCTGAAAACAAATTGGAACTAACTGTGAAAACAAAGCTTTCACTGGGGAAGTGAACAATGATATCCACGTCGTTTGCGTATCTCTGAAACACCAGTGGATTATTTCGGGATACTCCATCTGTGACCTTTCTTCTGCTTCATAAGTGACGTAAATGTCCGAGCTAAATCTTATGTCGCCTTTATTGTGAGTTGCTTTTCAGAAAAACGCATCAGCTAAATGCATGTATATAAATGTAAATGTCTGCACTCAGCCTGCGTGCTTTTCTAGTGCATTTGATACAGCTGTGTCCTTCAAACTGCAAGGACATGTGGAGTTATTGAGAATTCTTTTCAATGATTGATACATAATAGCTCTCTTTCAGATTTGCACCCTGTCTCACCTGGATGCACTGTGAACTTTTTTTTTCCACACAAGCCATATATGTGTTTTTTTTAAATGCCCGAGTCAGACTGTGGAAGCATCTGAAAATAAAGTTATTCATAAATACACAAAGGTGCCTTTTTCTATAGGCTCTATTTGCTGTGCTTAGACCAGCCCAGTGCATTTTATACAGCCATGGTTGAGAAAATACCAAATTTCTCCTCCACTAATGAACCAGTGGACATGAAACACTGGATAATTCCATTTCACTGTATTTTTTAGTGTGACTGAAACAATTAGCCAGTTTATCGGGTAGTTAATTGACTGCAAACTAATGGACTTTTCGATAATTAGTTAAATCAATCAATATTTTGGAAAATACACCCATCTACTCTTGTGGCACGATGAGAAGTTCTTAGTACAGACTAGAGAGTGTTAGTGTTGCTTAGCACCCAGTCAATAGTGTATTAAGCTTTGTGCATAATTATTTACTTACTTGCTTTGGACAAAGCCAGGCTAGCTGTTTGTTTCCAGCCTTTGTGCCAAGTTAAAATAATTTACTGTAGCCTTCAGTCTTCTTATTTCAAAACAAGAAAGTAAAAATCACATTTCCTTAGATATCAAACCTTTGCTCTTCCAAGCTCAAAATGATGTTTTTTTCTTTGCAGTATGGAAGTTATGATGATGGCTTATTATTTAAAAGTGACATCATGACTTTAATGTGTTATATGTAACACATTGAGTATATAATACTAAAAGCTCTATATGTGAATAAAATAATGTAGGTGTAAAAACAAGAACATTACTGAGATAAAATCTTGCAAGACAAAGTTGACTTAATAGTATGGTCTTATTTGACTGTTAATTTATATATCTAATATAATAGTATATCTCAAAATTGATCTGAGACCACTCTAACAAAGAATAATTAATTACTGATGATTTTTTCTAAACCTGAATGCTAAAAATAGACTGTTTCCATCATGTCAAATATGATCTTTTGTACGTACTCTTTCCCTGTGCACTATAATGTCATTATGTTTGTAATTGAGTTCATGGAAATTAAAGTTAAAGCTTTAGAGAACTGTGAATTTAAGAGCAAATTTACTTTTAAATCAGTGTTAGTGTTATATGGCTATTACCAAAGAATACTTTACTTTAGAAGTCATTGTTATATCTGCAAATCCCAATGCAGATGTAAGTGGTAAAGAGTTAAAGCTGCAC